AAAKKYMTTTTTTTTTGTCAGTCAAAAGAGTATTATTCAAAAACTCTTAATTRCAAATTTGAGAGAATTCTGAAAAAAACTRGCTGTGTTATGATGATCCAAAGATCGGAATTTTGACTTCAAATTTGGTCCTCTTRGCCGCGCGGCCAAACTCTGGTCACATGACCTTCGTGACGTCATTTTGTTGGCTCAAACACCAAGATAGTGAATACCGTAAGAARTAAAACTAGAAAAAAGTAAAATATAACCGAACAGATAGAGCAGAAGTTACAGAAACAACATAAACTGGACAAATAAGATAAGATTAGATAGGATAAAGAGGGTAACGCATAACAGTTAAAAACTGACAAACCTACGGCCCTCTAATTCTTAATAAATTAATATTAGCTAAACTAGCTAATACCTACGGCCCTCTAATTCTTAATAAATTAATACTAGCTAAACCTCTGGCATTAGTATGCTTCACTGAGTCCCAAGACCCTGAAAAAACGGATTTTAATATCCATTTGTGAATGTCATTTATTTACTAAGAAGTAGAATAGAATAGTTTATTATTTCTCTCTTCAAATGTTGTTTCATATTTTAGATTAATTTTCATATAATCAGGATATTTATATTTTTAATTTGATATTTTAGATTAATTTTTATATAATTATAATATTTATATTTGTAAATGTATATCGGCTTGCCATGTGAAAGCGTTGCTGATTAATAAACGTAAGATTTAGATGTAGAAAGCAGAATCAACAGAGTTTCAACTGATTGAAGTATTTATTCTTGTAAACGCTTAAAATGGTCGACTAATCAAGTGGAGATTTTGCTTCACATACACTTAGTATAACAAGTGGTATTTGGATTACAAATGATTTAAAGTAAATGCGGACACTCAAGCTCGTTTTTCTGTCTTCTAGAGAGTTCTTTTAGTTAATRAAAATAGATATTTTTTTGACTGAGCGTGTCCGAAATATTTCTTTAGTTTTAAAATACGTTTTTTTCGCATTTCTCTTGTTTTCAGTTTTCCAGTTGTTGGGTGCTTTGTTTGAGCCTTTGGGCTGCCCAGAATTTCTCGACATCCAGTTTTCGTATTTTTCAGGACGCATTCAACAAACATCGTGATATGTTCTTCCAAAAAGTCTATCGGAACCTGTCCATGTCGCAGAATCTGATAATGAAACTCCTTTATGTCAAACTTCCGTCCCAGTCGACGTTTCGCGTAATTGCGTAATCTCCATAATGCTAGTTGGCCTGTCATGTACGTCGCAGCCTGGCCTGCCCATGACTGGTAACGTTTCACTTCTTTCTCTGGAACATCTCCAGTTTCCCAAAGGTAGTCACGAAAAAGTCCGATGGCTTGATTGCGTGACATGTCTCTATGGTGAAGGCCAGTATCAATGACCAGTCGTAACGCACGCCACAGTTGAGTTTTCAACAAGCCATACTGCCCCAGTTGATGGTTCTTGAACAATTCTAGGGATAGATTTAGAAAGACAAATTCACTATATTCAATTTACTAATATCGTGACACCACTTATATAAAGAAATATTTCAATGCAAAAAATCCCGTAATAATGCAAAAACTAAAAAAAAAAATTACCAACCACTTTTTAGCCCATAAAATACCCGCTTTACAACCTCACAATGCACGATGACCTCCCATCTTTACCATATAACCATGTTTTAATGARTTAAATTATGAAAATGATTCTAGTAAGAACAATGAACTTAGTCTTTGAATAAAGTCTTCAAATCATGTCATAACAAAGAAAGCCGACACATACACTAAATGAATACATGTAATTATGGACGCAGGAGTACAAACTTGMAGTTTATAACTTCAATCTTTAAGTTTGCCGAATGCGTGGGCTCTGGCGGATATTAGAATAAACCCRYAGGCTTTCATTATTTACAAAGAACACGTCTTGAAGAAAATGATGACTTTGCAATAAAGACGGACTTAATAGAGAGACCTCAATTATGTCAGGTGCTTTTTCTATTCAATTAGGCCAACCTTCATGCTTGAYCAAGGTTGTGTGTTTCCTAGAGTACAGTGGACTTGTATATCATTCAGGGTAATTCAGATTCCTCTGATTTTAATCAAAAAATTAAAATTTAGAAGCTTTTTTTAATATTTAGTATATATTTTGAGGGAGTATATATACCCAAATAGTATCGTACAGTCATCACGTTAATATTCAATAGTTGCTTACGCATATTCAATGATGCTATAGGGTGTTCAGCGTACATAGCCCAGCCCTCGGCAAATACAGTAAACTGTTGATCAGTTAGCAGGTCCAATGATGAATCGCAGATATCCCTGCAAAGAAAGACCACATTATGACTGAACGAAAGTATGGATTGATGAAATAAAGGGAAAAGAGATGGAAAAGAGAAAGAAAGGGGTTTTAACGACCAAAATAACAAAGAAATAGTGAGGCAAGGACGTGACGCAGGAATATATAATGAATGAATGCAAAAAGGAATGAAAGAAAAAAAAAAGGAAAGAATCACCAGAATGGATAAGAAATGATAACTGGATTGATTGAAACCACGAACTGATTTTACCTGAAGTTTTCCAGATGCCCTTGAATTTGTAAATGGTGCCCGGGCGATGCTTCATGGGCGSTGACTGCCATTTCAGCGTATGTCGGACCCATTCGGTCGACAAAGAATGGTATGTTATACTGAGCAGGAGATGGGCACCAGCTCTCACTTGCTTGATAGCTCTGAACCGCTTCAGAAGGGTCTAGACTCATTTGGACGTCAATAGAGCAGGACGGACGAGTTTTCTTAGGCCCCTTGTTATAGAATAAATGGTTGACCTTAGGCTTGATGTYTGCAATGCTTTGACGAGCGACTTTGAACCATTTCTGCATCGTTGCATAYCGCACTGGACAAAACAATCTGGCGTCTAAAAGAAATTTGTTTTTTATTTTAAGTCGAASAGAATTCATATCACTTAATAATATAAAATACGAATACATCTTGTTCACCTACTTTCATTGCTAGACGAGCAAAGTTTGTAAGCTCGTTCGTCTGATTCATTTAATGGAAAAGGCTTTTGGTTTAAAAACATTTCAGGTTTATTGATGAGCTTCTTGAACTCCGTCACTGCTTTGCGAGAYTCTTGAATTCCAGTGATGTTTTTAGCGATTTGAATGGCTTTGGAGTACAACTGACCAATCATGTGCCATCCAATTCGATTTACTGAATCTGAAAATTGATGATAGAGTTTTCAAAATAAAGGCAGTCAGGTATCACATGTACAGACGGAAACTTGAACAGAAAGCCATACATAAGCATATTTTAAGCACAAACAGATCGCCAAAAACTGTCAAAAAGTCATACACGCGGAAATTGAACGAACTACAAATACTAACGAGGCAAACCTAAAAAGACTAMTGACAAGAAAACAGAGTCGTTAACTATCCCTTAAAATGACTAGTAAACTATTTATAGCAGCAGACCTTATTTGCAGCAATACACATTAAGAGTAACGACTCTACTGGACTAATTTACATTACATTTATTCAATACCTGGAGTGTAAGGCAAAGTGGTATAGTACTTTAAGACCTGTTCATATGCACCTCTGCCATTCATTATTTCCCCTGTATCCATATAYGGAGCTGTCGTCTGATTGGTTCTTGAGCCATTGTAGTAAATATACTTAACGGGGCGGCTACCCAGKCCATGAATGACGCCCTCAGGCACACAGTACAGCAGATGAACATTCTTTAGATAGTGGATCAACTCGTCTAGAGGACGACCGACGTACTGGACGAGATTATAACGCAATGACTGTCTAAAASTACTGTTATATTTTACTTTCCACTGTCGTTCCAGATGAGGTTGTGCATCCAAGAATCGTAGAAACTTTGTAATATTGAAAACGAAGCTATTCGGATGAAACCAACTTAGAATCGTTTTTCCGTCTAGCTTTTCACCAAATCCACGATACAATGATTGTAAACAKTCTATCCCGGCGAGACAATCATGTCGAGAGTTTATCATACCTGTGTTTATTCCACGTTTSATGTTCTGGARGTACTGCCTCACGCCTCGACCAGTATCTCGTAGAGACAAAAAGATTTCTTCAAGAACTCGAGCATTTCCCGGCGGGAAAAGAATAAATAGGGTGGCGACTTGGAGTCTAACATAGGCGATGCCTTGAACAGAACATTGGCCACTAGGGCCTGACATCCACGTACCTGGACGAGAACAAAACCATTCGAATCATTATARTATATTCAGAGAGCCCAAAAGTTATTATTAAGAGTGGGTGCGGGTGCAGTCGGTGCATAATACCTGCATAATAATTGTCTGTGTAAGGACTCCCAAAGTGGTTTTTAAGGAAATGTTTTGCAAGAGAAAGCATTCTTCGTTCTCTTATCTTTAAACGCTTTTTATTTATCTTCAGTTTTTTTATCTTTTGCGCCAGAGCAAGTGAAGTATCTGATATGGTCTTCAGTCTCGAAGGGTAGGGGAMGTAAGGACCGTATGCTTGTCTCATTTGTTTTGGTGTCAGCTCGCTGCGATAAAGTGTAATAAACGGAAAGGACTTTACATACGCCCACTTTACGCTGTCCAGGAATTGAGGAAGGCCTAAAAGAGAAAGTAAAGAACATTCAAGTCTCGTATTCCTTGTAATCATTTAAACTGGACTTTAGGAAGGATTGATGGCAATGTGTAAAAGCGCACGAACACAGAGAGCAAGGTCAAGGTCATGTGCAGAACAATCATAGCTAGTAAAGAGGCCAAGAACAAGCTAAGAAAGTGCGATAAAACAAGACCAGACCACATTCAAGAACGAAGCGAGTGCAGTACAATGTATGCAGTACAACAAGACCAAGGACCAGCAGAGACATATAGAATACCATCCACTCCCCAATCAAGCAATCCCAAGGTCTATAAAACGGTGGAGWTTACAATTTTTGTTAAGAACTAGTCCCGCGAGACATGCCTGGTTCATTGCCTGGAGCATTTGGCATCAGCAACCTTTTTACAAGTGTTTTCTGGCATTTCTACATTAAACGACGCAAAAGGTGCTTAAGATCATCTCTTTCGATGAAAGACGATAATGTGAAGATTTATTCTTACCAGCACGTTTAGCTTCAGCTGAAAACTCGCATGGATCGTCATTCCTTGTCGACTTGTCAAGACTTTGTCTTCGTTTGCGTTCATGTCCTCTTTCGTGTGTGTCGTCCGCATACYTTGGCGAAGTGGKTSCTACGAAGACAATAATCCCAGCAACAGATATGAGCAGTAATGACAACCTCATGAAATGTTGCCCAGAATTCTTCAAGCTTTGGAACTTCACTTTTGCTTGCTGCTTTCCGACGAAATTTTTCCCACAGCTAGACATGATTTCTGGTATTGAAATAGTAAAAACTTTCAAAATCGATTAACAGAATGATTACTATCAAGTCTAACAAATGATAGTCATAAGAACTGCAGACAGTGGTAAATAGACTCGATATCTCTCTCTAATTGTGGCGAGGTCATGAACTTTGAGAGCACGCAACTGCATGCAGTACAATTCAACCACTTCCATTCTAATATCATGGGTGTTATATAACACACTTTAATTTCCTGCCACTAAAAGAAAACTGGTCTACTTCAACGTTAGGTCCGTTATCRTAGTGAAGTACTCTATACACAATAGCCCGTCAGCAACCACGGCCTCCGCCCTCAATCACCGGGGAAGGGCCATYGAATTAACACCTCATAGCAGGGTTTTTAACAATGTTTTAACAGCATGGGAGGAGAATTAACGCAGAAATCAGAGGGAATGTTCTGGTTTATAAATAGCCGCCTCTTGTAACTTACTGAGTACTGGCAAATTGTTTTTCTACATACCGTTCCATTTTTTCAATTTTTGTCAGCTTCACACTTCACAGCATTATTTCCGTCCAACATAGCGGGGCTTTGCTAGGCAATCCTTTGGCCATGCATATTACAGGAAAACARGTAGGTTTTGATTGAGATTTTAAGATAAACCTGGAGTATTTTCTCGCGCTTTTATACATTTTTGGAGACATTAATATTATACGTGTAAGATTTATTTAATTTATTCATTAGAGKGTTGTTACATAAAAATAAAACTAGGCATAAGTCATTCCTATTTAATTTTTATATAGTATTAATAYTAATTTATAGCTTCTAGTTAAATTGAAATTTTTGAATATTGCCTAAGGCAAGTGACGATTCAGTGAATAACGAGAACTTGAAAACAGAAGCAAGTAAATGAGCAATGATTATTTATGTCAATGATAACACATCTAAATAAATTAAGCTTTAGTTCAGTGTGATTATTATCAAATTGTATGACAATATATTGTTTAAAATATACATAACAGAATCACAAAACTGAAGCATTACCAAAAATGCAGACAGAATTGATATTTACATAAATTGCTTTTTAGTTTCTTATTTGTTTAATAAATATTTCAAAAATATTTTCTTAAATATCTTATACTCGATTACTAGTAATATACTTAAAATGCAAATATCCCAGAATAAAAGTCTTTCTTGATCAATGATTTCCATTTGGCTTATCAACGTCATTGGGAGTGCACAGTGGTTTTACCAGTTGCTCTCCACCATCAGTATTCACAGTACTTGTCTTGAAGCCATTAGGGAATGCTGTCAGGGCCTGGTCTGCTGATGGCCAGTTGTAGAAATTCTCAGAATACCAATCCACTGAGATACAATAAAAGAATTGATTTAATAATAATTGTCATTTGGCTTTGAAAGCATTACTCAGATGAAGGATTAACATCCAACATCCATAACATCAGTAAGTTATTTCACATACTTTTTTACGGTGTTAAATCTATCTTTTTACACAACTGTTTGAAAGCATTTAATAGTTTAGCTGATACACAAATGATTAAAATTGCAATATAGAAGTTCATGTTCAGCTTACATGTAGCTTTGAGTCCTTCTTCCCATGACATATTAGGCTGCCAACCTAGTGCTTTCAGTTTTGAAGAATCCATAGGATACCGCTTATCATTGAAAGGCCTATAAAATAAATCAAAACCAATCAACAAGTCATTTGATGTATGAATTAATTAAGTCTTTTTTACCTGTCTTGGACAAACTGTATATGACTTTGAATCCCTTCCTCAGTCTCTTCACCTTTTATCTAAAACCATTTCACAGTTATCTTATCTTTATTTTTACTCCATTTTTGCTTTTGTATCGATTTCATCTTTATTTCTCTAAGAGTCTCTCTATTCTTCTTTCTGTTTTTCCTTTGATTCACTTCTTTTTTTCTTTCTTGATCTCTCTCACATGAATCTTACCTTTTTTATTAGAGTTCTAGCAAGCTCAAGTATGTTTATTTCAAAATCACTGCCAATGTTGTAGGTCTCACCTAAAATCATTTAAAGAATTTCATTTTACTATCAAAATTAAAATTATCAAAATTATTAATYTTTAACTAAATAATGCTATTTAGCACTAAATCTTTAACGATTGGCAACTGTACTATATCAATAACATACCACATTCTCCTGTGTGGAGAATCTGTATAAATGCTTCAGCAACATCTGCTACATGAAGGAAGTTCCTGGAAAAATAAACAAGATAATTACATTTACAGCACTTATTGCCTACTTATGTTCAAAAAGCATTTTTCTTGCAGTGGTATCACAGTAGTTATAAAAATTTACTGTGTTATGTACCTTGCTTGTAAGCCATCTCCATGGATACAGCTGAAAATAATAAGCCCCATGTATTATCAATAAAACCTCCAAAAACATCAAACATTAAAGTGAAGTAAGATAAATCTATATTGTCATGACTATTTTTCTTACCATTTCTGATTTTGTCTCAAAAGGGCAATAAACTTTGGAATGACCTGTCAGAAAACAAGTATATGTCACCTTTATTAATAACAAGCAATATTATTTATCAAGATTATTAATCTTCAATGTTCAGAGTGAATAKAATACCTTTTCTGGATACTGATGTGGACCATATACGTTGTTACTTCTTGTAATAATTACAGGGAGCTAAACAGAAGAAATGCTGTCAGACTATCACCAGAGGAAATAAGTATGATTGAGAATAACAAAATGAGAAGGAAAGCAGGGATTTCAAGGCAGGGCCAAATTAGCCTGCTAAAATGCGTTCCTGCAGAAGAAACACATGTTAGCAGGCTAGGGGCAAAGGAAAGAGCAAGCGAAGAAGCAAGAAAACAGAGAATGAAAGAATGGAAGGAACATCATTGAATGAACAGATTAAGACATCACAGTGCAGAAGGGCATCAAGRAAAAAAACTTCAAAAGCATKTAGACTACAATGTACCTTGAAACTTTTCAAGTATGACATCACAATGCATTCTGCAGCTGCTTTGGAAGCAGCATAAGGGTTGCTGGGTCTCAAAGGAGACATTTCATTATATTTAGTGRTACCCTAAAATAARGACAACTAAAGATGAGATGGCATAKAGYTATKTGTCWYACTAWATCTTTGARGAAACAAAAATGGRTTCTCTAATCAATCAGTATATCCATGTTCAAAGTGATTTTACCTTATCATGTCCTGAGCCATATATCTCATCAGTACTGGCATGTATAAATCTCTTCACTTTAGAATTGTATGCAACATTTAGCAAAACATGTGTTCCATAAACATTGTTCTTAGTAAAGTCAAGTGAGCTCCAGAATGAGTTGTCTAAATAACAAACAAGAAAAAATAGTAACCACATAATTACAACTAAATAGTGTAGATAAGAAAAAAGCAAACAAATCAGAGAAAAAATTAAAAAAAATCTTACCTACATGAGACTGTGCAGCAAAYTGAAAAACAGTATCAATCSCTTCTGACTGAAAAATATACCTAAGATAGTTTGCTTCACAGATGTCGCCCTAGAACAGAGTGCATAGAAATTATGAGTTTTCATATGAAACGTTTCGGGATACCTGTGTGTTTATTTACACAGGAATCCCCCAACAATGAATGCCAAAAAATCAAAACTTACAATATAAATTTACCTCTATGAATTTGTAATTCGGCCTGTCATTTATTCTTTGAAGATTTTTTAAACTAGAGCAATAGTCTAACTAGAGTAAAAGCAATAAAAGCTATATGTTAAATTACTATGGTGATGGTGGATGGCGGTAGTGATTCCATGCAACTGAACATATATTTTCAGGACATACCTTATCCAGATTCACTACGTAATAGTCTGGGTATCTCTCTACTAGAAGGATAACTACATGGGATCCTCTGAGAAACAAAAAGTCAAAAATATTCAGTTAACTRGACTTATCAGCTGATCAACTCGAAACTTTGCCCAAAACTTTTGTGCTTTACACACATTCAACTCACATAAATCCAGCACCTCCTGTAACCAGAATTCTRTTCGTATACTGTTTTGTTTGACCGCATTGGCACCCTGAGCATGTTTCCATGGAATACGAGAAATATGTTTTTCAAAACAGTCACGAGGCAGTTTTCGATATGACATTAAAACTTTTATTCGAATTTGGGCTTTTCTGAGCGGCCAATCACTGGAAAGGCTCCGAGCTTTTTGATTAGTTTAGTGATTGACAGTTCAGAAAAACCCAATATCCATATAAAAGTTTGAAATTTGGCAGGCAAATGCAAGGTTTCTGTGGTGTTTCACTTGCGCTTCCCATCCGCCATCTTGACACACGTGGCAAGTGATACACCACACATGCGCAATAGCTGTTGACAACATGGCGGATGGCTGGACAACAATTGCGCTTTTTTGTGAGAATATTCTTTAATACACTCCTTCAAGTTTACTTTATTTTATTTTAAGGYATTTTTAGGCGCTTTATGAGCGCGTTTTTTATAAGATGWGTAATTGGTTAGGTTTTTGTTTTTMGGGGGTTCTTTTTGCTGGATTTATCGAGCCGATTGGAAGCAAAACTGTGGAAGGGTTTCTGAGTTCCAGAGAAGCTCGCTTCGATAGAGGACAATATCTCACGAAATTTAGTTTTTACGGTAAGCTGTGTAAAACCATGAAACATCATGATAGTGTAATGTATTTGCAGTTTTAATAAAACTAATTCTGATTATAATTTTTAGATGCAAATAAGATGGAACAATCAGACATTCATTCTTTCTGAATATTTTTGTTTATTATCATGACATCACTCTTTTGCTCGTGCCCTTCTTATAACTTAAAATGTCTAAATTTAACCACTTCGTTTCGATTTTTTTTTCAGGTGAAGCAATGTTCAAGTTTACACTCAATGAAACCACCAATGGCAAATTGTATTTTTATGTTGATGAGAAGTGGACCAGCTTGAGCTCAAATACACCCTGTAAAGAAAAGTTAGCCATGGCACAATATTCTCGTAAGTAATGGAATGAATTTGATATCAATATGTATTTTACATTACAAATGTACCCATTTTTACATGAATTGTGAAGTCTCCTTTGCATTTTTTTGCTCCATTATTAAAGGTAGGCATGCCTTCACATTAAAGCAAGACAGGTGGTGTATGAATAAACAACCTTAAAAACCTTTCATGGCTGTCTTGCTTTGTTTTTGGAGTGAACTGTGGAGAAGAGTATTGCAACTCATAAAGCTGATTGAGTTGCAATAGTTAGGGTTTAGTGTTTCCCACACAAATGCTTTGTAATTAAAAGAGTCCAGGTTGGGGGAGGGGGGTATAAGGGTGTATGCCACGCTACGGGGTATGGGTTTTTCCCCTAGGAAAAAGAGCAACTAAAGTTGCATTTGAAGAATTGTGTTATAGGAGATTTAACTGTTGAGCTGAAAAATAATCGCATTTACCAACTCTAATGCTAAACATTGCTAGTTTAACTTTTTAATTTGTTGTCTCACAGACATGCTGTCAGGAAAATCTGGTGATGTTGCCTTTGAACAATGGGGACATCCTTATATATGGCACATAGTTT